ATGCCAACGGCAAACGAGCGCAAGGACGAGAGTCGACACGTGGTGTCGTCCAAGCCACCGAGTTCTGACGCCCGGCTACCCGAGAACCTCAGCGCGACGTTCGATCACATTGTCGGCCAGCTCGAGATCATTACGCGCACGCTGTCGATCCTCGAAGAGCGCCTTTGTCACGCCGAAGACCGGATTTCGGACGTGGCGCGCGTCCAGACACAAATGCTGCGGCAGCAGAACGAACGTCTTAGCCCCTCGAAGCGCCTCGTCCACCCCCACGCGACCGACACAAGTCCGCACTAACAAGAAGTACCACACGCGTATGCTACAATTTAGCATGTCTTGTTGGCGGTTGCATGAAGCAAAGGAAGTCGGTCGACGGCCTCGTGGACAAGATGACGTTTGGCTTGTAAAAGAATGACGTCACCCTCGTCAAGGGACTTATATTCCCTTGTCCTGATGAACCATACCGCTGCGCGAGTAGTGTTGATATTGTGTAGATTCCGTAGGTACGACTAGAATATATCTATCTGTCGGAGTCGAATGCAATCAATCAATCAATCAATCAATCAAACGTGTTCGCTTTGAAATAAAGTTGGCAAAAATCAACTCAGACTTCGCATAAATAGTGCTACGCCTGGATGCGTGGGAGTTGGCACCAGCACTTGGCCGTTGGGAGTGAGCTGCGCACGAAGAGATCCATCCCGTGGTGAGCCCCACTCGCCGAGTGATGGCTCGCGCGAGGTCGTACTCGGACCACCCGACTGAGGATGCAAGCCGTCGGGTGTGTTTCAAAGGAAACCGTGTCGAATGAACTCTAATGTAATAGCACGTCGGTGAACAATAGAAGCATATAGGATGGACCAAACTTGCTGAATTTCGGCGCACAACAGAAGAAGAGAAAAGGCGAACGAGAACGACGAGCGAAAGTTCTGCTCATGGAGTTTTTTCGCCCACTTTAACCACAATGCTGAATAGCTGGTCAAGGAAAGACTCTGGTCAAGGCTCCCGTCCAGTCCTAATATCCTACGGGTGTCTCGTCGAGACTGCTTTTGGCAGAATGGAGAGCAAGGTCCCAGAGGCGCCATCTGCACCCATGAGATATCGTTGGGTTCACTTACCGTCGTCTAAGATGATGGCCAAGGCAGACTGACCAGGTACGCGCTGAGTCGGTCGACGTCGCTTTTACAGCACTGGGACAAGGCAATAGGAGACCTTGTTGTTAAGCTACAAGGTATGCACGTCGTGGAGGTAATATTGTATGCAAGCTTGTGTGTGTATATTTATAGATGCGGGTTGCAATCCATCATCGGGCAAGAGCGATGGCGTCTTTCTAGCGTGTCGTCCGCTTGCGGTATCCGGACTGTTACAAACGTTCGTTTTTCGGTTGCGGCAAGCGGGCGGCTGGGCACACGCAACTTTTGTCATACAAACTTCAAGTGCAACGCACCCGCGATCGCAGCCGCGTGAGCGCGGTTACTCAAATTCAGTGGAACGTCGCGACGACCAGACCGAGCATGGAGGAGACGACGGCCAAGGTTCCGCGCGACGACGCGTCCGTCTACCAGACAGGTACCATGGCCCTTGGATGCGCCAGGAGGCTCATGCGGCGCTGCGTGTAGATGAGCTCCGAGGTACGCCGACTGTCGACGGGTTGTGGCCGTCCGACGCCATGCTCCGTAGGCTACCTCCTCAAGAAGACGCGCAACGGCAAGTGGCAAAAGCGCTGGTTCGAGACGAACGGATGCTTCCTGACGTACTACAAGGTCTTGCTACAGCGGTCGTAGGATGCTTGCTCATGGTTCGAGTAGAAGCAAGGCCAGAAGCTCCTCGCGGCCCTCAACCTGCCTCAGGTCGGCGAAATCGCGCTCTTGCCCGAGACCGCCGAAGGTACGCATCGTGGGCATCACATCGCTGCTCACATTTGCATAGATGGCCCGGGCCTCTTTACGATCGAGCTCAATGATCGGATATATACCATCAAGGCCAAGGGCCAGGACGACGCTGCGCTCTGGGTCGAGGTACGAGGAGGATGCGCTATATAGAACCGCATGCGATGCAGAATGTAGGCCCTTGTGTGGCGCCAGCAAGGTGGCGTCGTCGCCTCGAGCACGACGGGTACGCATTTTGGATCCATGACGTCTCCTCATGCCTTTCCAG